AAATTACTTATTGCAGTTTCCTTTGATAAAATTATAGCATAATATCTAAAATTTGTATGACAACAAAAGTTGAAATCAATACATGAATTCATCATAGCATAAGGGAATCTCCTTGCATGCCATTGTACAGCCTATATGCTTGTTCACAATTATCAATGCTAATCCTTTAAATAAGCTCTGTTATAAATTATTGATTAGGATTTAAACAGCTGGATTCTATTAAGATGATCAATACGACACATATAATAATCAGGATAGCCACTACAGCAATAAAAATAATTCTGCATTTTGATAATCCTTTCCCAGATGCTATTGAACAAATTGAAAATATTTAAAATTTTATGGGGAAGCAATGACCTAATGTTTTCCTAATGCTGGTAGGTAAATTATTGACTTTATATGATTTTAAATTATGAACTTGATTCTAAGCCTCAATTTAAATGCAACCATAAAATTGTGCCAGATACACCACCCTATTAAAAAACCCTTTTAAGAAACGTTGAACTGCTAAACATATTTATGAATCATTCTAGTTTGTCTTGCTTAACAAAAAGTGAGGGCCATACATGATCCATAACACGTTTTTAATGCAATTAAGATGATGCAATGACGGACATCATGCATAAGAATTTACAAATCACAAAACAATAATTATACAAGAATTCAATTTATTTAGGTATAGACTAGAAATTAAGTGAAATACAAAATCAAGTGATAATACAATGATTGATTAATCTAAGAAATATTAATAAGAAAATTGAAACACAATAGCATCAAGCAATTGAAATTTAAAACTGCAATTGAAAAATCTAGTCGAATCAAATTTTACCAAAATCAGTAACCATTGCAAAGCCTTAAAAGAAACATTCGAGGAAAAAAAATACACGGAAAGCTATCAACAAAATAAAAAAGATACAAGCCTCATGCCAGTAAAAGAAGATAAATCCGCATATGAGTTTCTTACCACACTTTTGTAGAATTTGAAAGAATTCAAGTCTAGCAAGAACTCGCAAGACTGAAAGTAAAAAGGGCAAAACTTTATTCAATAAAAGAAAAATTACATGCTTCAAGTTTTTAGTTATAGATTTTCACAAGTTTATAAAAATGGGTAGAACAAAATTAGACTATATTACATACAATTAAAACACAGCCCCCCGTAACTTGTACCTGTCACTGCAACAGCCCAGCATAAATATCTTGTTTGTATTTTTCATATTTTGTTAAATATTTGTATTAACTAATTGATGATTTAAAAAAAAAATTATCAGACTTAATGGAGGAAGTAGTGATAAAAGATGCTCTAACTGTTCAAAAACTTCTCAAATATGGGAATGATATGATTATATAATTTTAATAAATTATGTGCATACTGCATACCAATCATAAACTATCAGAGCTAAATGTCATTTCATATTTTGAAGCATTTAGGATAACCATAACTTTTTCTAAATGATGCTCCTACTGGCATCAGCACTGGTTCTACTTTCGATGTAATTCTATTATCCGGTAAAGGCACTTTCGTGGTTATACTAGTTCTTGTTGTTATCTGTCAATGGAGAATTTTGCACATTAGAAAATGCTTAAAAGGACATTGTAATCATTGATTTATATTGCTATCAGTAATATTCTGTCACGCGGAACTTAGTTTGATGAATAAACATAGTTTCTTTGAGCCCAAACAGTTCATACAAGAATCCTTGCAAGAAAGTGTAATGATTCAAATTGTCTGAACATATATGTTATACTCTCTCATAAAGTTGGTCTAGTCATCCAAGATAAGCCATGCCAAGTCAACTGCTAACTTGTGCTAACTCGAATGATAGGACAAGCCATATCATAGACACCTACAGAGTTAAATAAAGAGATACAAGAATAGAAAACAATAAAGAAGACATCAAGAGAAAACATCATCCAAAATGAAACATCACTGCACCACATAATCAAGGAGTTTACCAACATGATGTGCTCAAACACAATGTAGAAAATCCAAGCTTTCGCAAGTCCCTTATAGCAAATAAGTAGTTAATCCATGTGGAATAACAAAGAATATCCATATCCCCCCTCCTCTTTCTCTACCTAGGTGTTTTCTCAACACATGACTTTGTAGCAGGAGCAAGAAAAATTAAAAGTAAAGATTATCTCCAATGATCTAATCCATACCAATTTGTTGATTTTCTGAGAAATCATATTATGTGTTTTACGTTTGTTTGCACTCTCATTCCATAAGCAGATAAATCCATGCCAAGTGTTTTGCATCTGAACAAAACCTTCATAAGCATTAAACCCTATCTTCGACATTTGAAATTGAAGATGTTCATAGATTCCTTCCATATTTTTGGATCATAATGGGAAACAATATTAGATCCAGAATACAAGAAAAAAACAAAATGGTGAAAAATATAACGTAAGATCAGCCTAAAATAAAAGCCACTCAAACATTTGCTGAATGAAAAATTATTAAACTCAAATAACTTCTTAAAGACCTTGAAATAAAAGCTTTAGAAATAAGGCAAGTAGCCTGCACACCAAACTAAAGGAAGAATGAAGAGAAGGTTTTATTGATCATATTGCAAGCATCCAGATCAATATAACAAAGAACCATTAGAAAGTAAATCCAAAATAAAGGGACCCAAGAGTAAGAACAATAAAGGAAACCAAGCTGTTGTAACCAATGCAACAAATCTTGTCGAGTTATCAGATCTAGAGGAAAATCCAGCTTTATCCTTCATGGCAACAAGGAAAAGGAATGCAAAAATATACTAATTTTGGTGAAAAATACATTCATTATTGCAATTTTGCACTTGGGATGCAAGAATATTTTTATTTGGAAACCTCGACTGAAAAATTATATTTATCCATTAACTGACATTCTAAATCTTATTCTTTAGGTTGGACAAGAAGGAAACGGTACTTGGCCACCAGATTAATGTAATACAAAATTTGCCAATCCTGAGAAATTCATAGATTAGTCAACTTACGAAGTATTATTAGAAGTGTGGCCCATAATTTTAAGTGCATAACTGTTAGACAATGAAATATATTACAAGGAGCGGAAAAATTACATGTCTGAAAAGATGAAGAAAAGTCTATCTTCAACAATAATGCTAAAGACAACTTCAACAACCTAAAAGGCTGGTGAAACAATCCAAATCCCCCCTCTTGCGTAAAAGTACAAAAAAGCTAAATTCTTCTAATTAACAAAAATTAACAAAGCAGAAAATGCTTGACTAGCAAGACCAATAAAGAACGATCAAATTAAAACCAAATGTACATACAGAGAAATACGAGTACGAGGACTTACTAATCAACAAAAGCAAAAATTCCCAAAACAAGAAGAAATGTTGCATCAACGATTTTGTGATATTCCGTTCAGACAGAGGTCCAAAATAAAAAGAAGAAGAAGAAGATAACTATCATAATTTAATTGGAGAAAGAACCTCCAATTTTAATATTTACTTATAGAGGCAAATTATTTGATGAGGAGAATTACAATCCGTGAGACTCCAGACAAAATATAAAACTCAATAAAGAAGAGCTACATTGGCTCCACCTGACTAACCTAGCCAATGGTTTAAGCTAACAAAAAGGTAAAACCTAACCAAAGGGAGCCGTATAAACCCAATCAGGTTGCATGGATAAATTGAGCTACTTTAAAAGTTATATGAAGAAGATTAAAAGAAGGCTATAATAACAACATTAAGATGGCTGGCTTAAAATGCCACATCATCAAGAAGTTCAAAAACATGACGTGATTATAGCCTTCTTGTCCTTAATATCCTAATCTAAGATTACGGAAGATCAACATGAAATCATTCCGTTAATGTTGGACCAATTAGGGACATATTGAGTGATTTAGCCTAAACTTAGTGGTTCCGACTTATTTTCCGGGGCATTAAATACTCAGTCATCATAAAAGATTAGTTCCACTTTCAATCTCAGAAACAAAAGTCTAAAAATTCTTAAGTCACATAAATTTATAAGAATGGTCTCTCTTCATAGAAAAAAGAGCTAATAAGTTTTGATGAGAATTTAGTTCAAAAAGATAAAATAACTTTCTAGCTAACTTATCATTCCACTAAACTATTTTTTCTATCTACATTAAGGAAACCAAATTATAAACTCCTACAAAGAAATCATTACACTTCCTTTGAAAGTTCGCCTCACCTACCTTCATAACCCATGCTCCACTATAAGGGTAAAATCTTAAAACTAGAAGAAATCTAATTTGGTTTCTACCAAGTAAACAGAAACTTTAATTCATTTAAAGCTTATTTTCAAATTTTCAAGCTATATTTAAAAGTAAATGGATAAGTATATCATTTTCTCATGCAAGTATGGATTAACTACACTTTGGTCTTCCTCTAATATCAGGATAAACCATCCACTTGAGAACTTAGAGCATATCAAAGCACCTTCCTTCTATTGCACAGAAATAGGAAAAAGTACCAACCTTATTTGAGTTAGGCTTTTCAATACTTCTCCCTCTTGAGATACTTTTTCATTTTAAAATAAACTTGTTCAGAATTTGAATCCTTTAAAACAAATCTATCCTAGTGAAGCAAAAACGAAAAGAAAACAATAATAAATAATTAAATAAAAAGATCATAGATTGAAATAAATGAAAAGGTAATAAGATATAAAAGAAAAACACAACACATATAATAATGAAAAAACAATTCCAAGAAATGTGATATCAATGGACTCTACCCCCTCCCACTCCAAATCCTTCAATTTTCCTGTTGTGCTGCATCAAAGAATATTTTTTTTTATAAGGAAATATGAAATTCTTATTCTAATATCCCAGGGAAAACCATTTTCAATGAATTATAAATGTTTAACGAGGATGGTATGACTCATGAAGATCAAGGTACACACCAGTAGAGCAAGCATTACTGAACTCCTACTCCATCATCATCCATGTCAGCAATAATGTAAAATTAAATCCCCAAAAAGTGAAAAAGCAAAGCAAATGTTTGAGCAGATTAAAGGGTAGTTTTAACCTTTTACTTTTAGTTCATAAGCTTGTCGATCACGCATCATCAAAGCAGCAGCTTCTCCATTCAATGGATCTGAAGGATTGGGATACAAGAGAAGTTGTGGAAGGAAGACCTCGAAGACATTCAAAAGATCTGGAAGGGAGTATATATGTTGCCAATAAATGCAGTATTTTAAATTCACAAGGCGTAATTAACATTCAGCAGTAGATAAAAAAGATGAAGGAGATGAGTTCACTGACCAAACATAGGACTCCAAGTCTGGTTGATAACATCCAAGCAAACTGAGCCAGACCTGATATTAGATTTGTATTGGATTAAGGAAAAACATATTAAAGGCTTTAATTACACAGCAATACTTTGCATATATACCACCACACCAAACAGAGATAAAAAAAACCTCACATTTCATCAACATTTGGATGATACATCTTAGTAACAAAACCAATGGACGGAGATTTGTAAGGATAAGCGTCGGGAAGTTCTACTCTGACCTTCCACACTCCTCCTTGATAAAGACCTGATAAGTTTCACAAATTCTCAGAAAATTACAAAAACTCCTCTTCAGCAAAATCGAAATCCAACACTAATGTTGTTAAAATGCATCCTCCAATATCCTATAAGAAACACTAGATGAAAATTACATCAAAATTTGAAACTATTACATCTCCAAAAACAAAATTGGGACTTCTAACCACCAATTTCAAATCAAACGAACCAAATCAGGCATCACAACGATGCAATCAACAGAAAAATAAGTTTAAAAAAATTAAAAAAACCTATTAAATGAAATCGGAGGAAAAAAGCCGGAACATGGCTTAATTTCTCCTTGTTCCGCATCAACTTGCCACCAAGAAGGACCACCCAAAAATAATAATAATAATAAACGCTCACATACTGTCATTTGGCCCGTGAAATTCTACGTAAAATTCCTGCATCCCGTCGTTTATCGTCTCCACCTTATAATCTCTCATCATCCTTCCCTCCCCCCAAAAAAAAAAAAAAAAAAAAAAACCAAAAACAAAAATCAGTAAATCGGATTACAAAAGCGATAATGGAGATCGGAAATAAACGGAACAGATCTCGGAGATTCACAGTTTCATGAAGTCCATCTCCCGCCGCTTGCTCGGAGAAGACATCGGACCTTCTTCCAAGCAAAGAATGCTGCGAAGAGAGGAGCGGAAGATTGATGCGAGGGGAAGGAGGCGGAGAGGGAGACGGAGAGGACAATTCTAATAAAATAATCAGTAATAATATTCGCAAGCCGTATCTATCTCGCACACTCTTTGTTTCGTCGCGACTGAAAAGATTCCCCGCTTTCTTCTCGCTATTTGCCATTCAATTTTACATATTAATACCTAATTTCAATTTTCTTATACATGTCATTTTTTACGTAAAATATAATTGCATTTATATACATATAACAAATCCTTTTATATATATATATATATATAGACCCTAAACTTTAATATGAAATTTAAATATGTAACATCACGTCAAAAATATCACTTTTATTCATTTTTTAAGTCAAAAGTAGCTTTTATGATAAATTTCCAGCATTATAACGTTCTAAATGTAATATAATGTTTCGAAAACATGATATGCGTCAAATGCAGGGTTTTTGAAGTAAGGATAACCGAATGATAGTGCTCGATCGATCAAAGTATGATCGGTCGGTTAAATCAGATTGGATCGGGCGTTTGAACCGTGAACCGGTCATTCAACCATTTCGGTCCAAGCTCAAAATCATTTCCGCACAAAACTATGATTGGATATGTTATAATCAGTGATGTTTTTAAAGAACTGGCCACTTCGCATATTATTCAATTTTAATTTTTTTATTTTATTTTGAGCATTTGGTCAGAAATAAGATCTTCAAATTAATAAAAGAAAAAATAATCATGTCTTTAACTTTTTATTTTGGATATTATTCACGTATTCAAATTTTATGTTTTTAATAAATTTTTTTTTTGTATTGAATCGGTAAAAATGATATTAATATATTTTTATTGTGTCATTTAAATTATATTAAAATAATTTAAATATTTATTATGTCATTTGGTTTAACCTTCGGTTCAACCCGAATTGAATCATTGAACTTTAAATATTTAATTCTTTTGGTTTGATGTTCGATCCGTTCTTCACAACCATTGATTGAAGGTATGCGCAAAACGTCTCATAAACTGGCCAATCAGAGGTTAACCAATAAGAAGACGACCTGCGAAAGACCAATCTATTGAGAGTCGGCCAACCTAACTTCAATCGATCAAAAAGCAACTAGCAAAGGTATAAATGTTATTTTCACAATAATTATAAACCCCTATGAATAAAGGGGCATTAAATACAAGGTTTAGTTGTTGAAACCTGGACCCTAAACCCTAAGCCAGGGACAAAATTGAGTAATTAGGGGGTATGTATATGTAAATGCTCAATTTATATTTTTATTTAGACACCTCAAGAGTAATTGCGACTGGACGCGTGGCTAAAACTTTCTGAGAAAAGTCCGCTTTCACCTACTTCAATCATTTTTGTTAAAAGATTAAAACCATTTCTATATGCCGTTTTACTTCAAATATAAATATACACTTAGGGTCCGTTTTGGTACTGTTTGGTTCATGCGTCTCGTCAGTTTATCCGAAATTGCGTTTGGGTTTTCACACTAAATGCAGGCCATGAGTCGACTTCCGCAGCCGGCCCGCAGACTGCGTTTCAGAATAAGCAGCTTATCCTGAAACGCACGAGTTGCCCCAAACTGACCCCTTACTTTTGGATCTTAAATAAGAAGCTTTTAGTAAGATAAAAAAAATTTAAGATATTATTTTATACTTTAAATAGAATAGATGATGAAATTTATTAGTATTTTACAAGTAGTAATTAGAATGAAAAATATTGGGAAAATATATAGTTGTTGAATCCACAAATGTCTGTCTGGGAAACATACCAAGGATCGAAACATTTTATTCGGAAGTGTTTAAGAGGGAGTGAGAGAGAGCATGCTAAAGATAGAGAGAGAACAATAGTAGACTTACAAAATGTATCCTTTCATAATATTAACTCCTATTTATAGGTCAGGCTCTAAATTATAAATGTACCTAACCAACCCATATTAACCTTTGAGGGGAGACTTTTTGGTTATGTGTATAATAAAGCCAAGGGCCTATTAGATCGATGAGGATGAGGCTGACGATCGTCTGTTAAGCCTTGATCCGATCCATATATGGTCCAAAAAAGTATTGTCCATCGATCATCCCAAAGGTTGATTGCTGCCCTACGAGATTTCCATTTGGTGCATTTTGTCAATCGTTTGAGTAAACTACTTCATTTGCTACTACTCATCTGGAAACGATCGCCAAAAACTATGCTAGATCATTCGCTTCTTCTTCTCGAGATTATTACTTTCTTAAAATTTATGTGATTGAAAGTCATCCAATTATTTTTAATGATAAATATATTTATAATAATAACAACTTTAAAAAAAATTATTTTTCATAAATTGGTGGGTGGGTTGTCTCAAAGTGCGTTAATGCACTAATTTGGTGACCATCCAACTACAACACTCAACCCAAATTGGTTCACAACACATTATCATACATACATAGCACATAATTCCGACACCCTTTTTTTTACATTTATACTGCTGATATCTTTAATTTCACATGACAACATCACTATTTCAACTTTTAAAAATGTTATAATTGAATATGTAAATACATAAAAAATTGAGTGGAATGTATGTAAATGTTCCTTCTTTTCTATCATAAGAACAGTATGAGGCCATGTTCCCTAATGCGTAAGATCCAACTCATAAAAACTAGTTAGCCAAACCTAAATTAGGACTTCTTAAACACAATTTTACACATTTAACCCTAAAAATAAAATCAAATTACGATTTTTTGCTCCCATCATAAATACTGCAAAGATTGAATCCACACTGTTGAGCAGTTCAAGATAACAGTAATCAGCACTTCATTATTATAAATTCTTTAATTACATTGAAGACAAATATTTCATAAAACTATTTTACAGATTGCTACCACACTTCTACTTGACTATAACTTTACTTATTTTCAGATATAATAGAGAAAGGAAGCTCTAAATAAATTATAATCTGCCATTTTTTTTCAATAACAAGTCCATAATCCATTTTTTTAACATAATAATTTATTGTTAATGAGACTAATTAAGCTTATGCAATAACAAGCTCTTCTCACTAGCTCGCGGGGTTTGCCTCCCCGCCCCACAATTGTACGCGTTTTAAAGCTTGTGCGGCCTGCAATTTGTACATTTTGGCAATAGAGAGAAAATAGTTAGTGACAGTAATAAATAAATCGAATAATTAAAGGGGCATTTAAATATCTAACACTTGAACTTTACTTTTTTTACATTTATACCACTGAGTGTTCAAGTGAAATACACCTTTTTAGGAAAGGTGGTATGGATGTAAAAGTTGGAAATTTTGGATGTTAGATATGTAAATAGATAAGAGTTTCAGGAGTACTGATGCATCAGTACTCCTGAAACTCTTATCTATTTACCAGTAGTACTGATTCATCAGTTCTCCAATGAGGGGGTGCCACGTAGGCACCACGGTGGGACCATTGCTTACGTGGCACCCCCTCATTGGAGTACTGATGCATCAGTACTCCTGAGGTAATATTTTTTCATGTAAAACTTCCATATAAATATAAAAGCTGATACCTCCTCCTTCCAGTTTGTCTTCCAAACAACGAACAGCAGGATTAAAGTCTGCAGAGCGCTGCCACAAAGCATGCCGACCCAAATGCCCTGTCAGAATTGGCCATCAGAAAGTAAGAGGGCTAAATTTTTGTTTACAAACATACCACACAATATTTACATGCGCTAAGCACCCAAATTTTTAATATCACATCAAAAATAACAGTCACCTACTTTCGAAAAATGAAGTACACATTTTCAAGCATAAGGTTTTATGCAAGGTAATATAAATATGAATATGAAATTTTAGGTGTTAGATGAATAAATACATATGAATTGTGTGGTATGTATGTAAATTTCCCAGGTTAATTTAAGTATAATGTTTTATATTATACATAGTTACATATTTTTTTCTTATATTTCAAAAACAAAGTCAACTCCAGAGTCTCTCTCACTGGATATACCAATGTGTTCTTGATATTTATTGTATTAGTTTGTGATCTGAATGTATTCAATTAAGTTTAGCAAATTAACAAATATATCTATATATATATATATATATATATATATAAACAATTCATGTTAGGAGTTGAAATTCAGTACTGTGAAATTCTGCAGCTTTAATTTAATTTATTTATCGATGATGAGAGCTTGAATTTGCAAATTAGGACCTGGTTTCTTTTTTACTAAATTGAGCTTAAATATTATTGTTGTGATATAGTGCAATCGGATAAGTATTAATATAATAGAAAATAGTTAAAACCTTAAATAATGCTACACAGACTCAATGCATTGGATTTATTAAGGTGAATCCAAACAATTAGAATACAAGAAGTGCTAATAATGATGATTGTGATAGGATTCGAAATTTGATAGGATGCGGATCCGAAAACGGCGAACAAATAGTGATGAAATTGCAATGGATAGGTAGAAAAAACTCAAACGATGACTACTTTTACGAAACTCAAAAGAAAATAAATAAGATATAATAATGATCTATTTTGCGAGACATAGATCGTCTCTCCACAAATGCTCGACGTCGTAAGGAACATCACAAAACGAGAAAGAAAACTGTAGCCAAAACAAAACATAAAGCAAATCCTAGGTTATTAGCTCTAATAAACGCCTTCAAACTTTCCCCACAAAGCTCCTTGAATTTATCCTCCTTGCATGTGTGATTACAGACTTCGGAGGCCCCTCCTTTTCGCTGGATCCTTCTATTGTTGTTTCCCACTGTGCCACGCCTTCCTGCAGAGTCGTTAGGCTCTTCGATCGTTTGGACCGGCCAGTCAGATAAATCTTGACTGGTCCCGCTTGTGTCGGTTTAATACCCGACGTAAACATTATTTCCCTCAAAAAAAAAAAAAAAAACACCTTGTCCGCAAGGTTGAATAATGAAACGTGTCTTTAGATCACCTCAAAAGGTTCCCACAGTGCTTAATACTCTGGCAGACCATTTCACTTAGTAGGTATTTCCTTTGCTTCTGCCCCTCCTCGACGCACTCTTTCGACCCTAAGGGTTCTAGTATTACCTCCAGGTCCTCTGTCATCAACGGAGGTAGTTACGACGATGGTGTATGTTTTCTGATGGCATGTCTCAGTGTGAAACATGGAAGACTAGATGTAGTGTTGATTATGGTGGTAACCTCAAACAGTAGGCCACTGCTCTGATGTGTTTCGTCACCTCGTACGGTCCAAAATATCGTGGTGAAAGTATCTCACTCCTTCTCTTGGCTAATGTGTTCTACCAGTTGGACCTCAACTTCAAACTATATCCCCCGGAAAGAACTACACATCTCTCCTATGTCCATCTACGTTCCTCTTCATGATCTGTTGAGTTCTCCGTAGATGAGCCTTGAGCTCCGCCAATATTCTATCTCCCTCCTCTAAGCACTGATCGTCATTGGGCATCTGTGTAGTTTTATGCCCATATTGTATAAGGTGAGGTGGATACCACCCATACAAAATCTTGAAAGGGGTGGCTTGTGTTACAATATGATATGAAGTTTTATACCAGTATTCGGTCCACGTAATCCACTTTGCCCAAAACTTTCTGATACAAAACAACACAGGTATACACTCCTGTTGATCACCTCCGTCTGGCCATCGGTCTAAGGATGATAAGATGTGCTGTTGTTGAGGATTGTTCCTTGCAACTTGAACAACTCTTTCCAAAATTGGTCGAGGGATACCTCCCTGTATGATATAAACGATTTCAATATTTCATACAAACGGACCACTTCCCGTATGAACACCGTAACGACTAAGATCGTAATGTAGGGGTGTCGTAATGGAATGAAATCTGCATACTTGCTCAGGGTTGTAACAACCCTTCCATAAAATTCATTGTCACCTCTTCCCAAACCTTCTCCAGTAATGTTAAGGGTTGTCACAACCCAATTGATGTTATGGTCAAGTATTTGTGTCGCTGACACACATTGCTCCGTGTCACCATGTCTTCAACGTCTCTGCGCATTTCCACCCAATAAAACATTGTCAATAGACGAATGTATGTCGTTGCAACCTGAAATGCCCCCCGATTGCACCATCGTGAAACTCCATAAATATTCTGGGGATGTATTCTGATGCCCTTGGTAATATGAACCGCCTTTGGTAGAGTAGTGGTTGTCCCCTCAAATCATATCTCGAATGAATGCTTGGATCCTACAACAACTTTACCCATATTTTCCTCAGCCCTTCATCTTGCTCGCTTTCCCGCCTCAGGCTTTCCAATCTATAAGACCAAGGATACTAATAAGGCCATCTGCTAGGGCTCCTCCATCATTCTTGACAAGGCATCTACGGCTTTATTCTCCAATCTTGACAATTACAGAATCTCAAAATCATATCCCAACAACTAGGATAGGCACCTTCGATGCTTCTCAGTCACCATCCTTAGCTCCAACAAGTACTTCAAGCTCCTCTGATCTGTCTTGAAAATAAAATATCGTCCCAAAAGGTAGGATCGCCACTTCTAATACCCAAGACAATAGTCATCAACTCCTGCTGGTACACCGACTTGAGCCTCGCTCTAGTGGTGAGTACCTAGCTGAAGTAAGCAATTAGTCGCTAGCTTTGCATGAGCACTGCTCCCAATCCGTAACTTGACACATTTGTCTCTACAACAAATAGTCTACTAAAACCTAAAAGTGCTAATACCGGTACACTGCCATAACCCTTATCGGATGTTTGAAGGCCTATGTTGTGGCTTTCACATGCTTGAAGTGGTCTTTCTTTAGCTGTTTTGTCAGTGGTCATGCTATTGTGTTGTACTCCTTCACAAATTTTTGGTAGTATTTGGTGAGACCTAGGAATCCCCTCTAACTCCATCAAGTTGTTGGATAAAAAACCAGTCCATCTTTTAGCCTCAATCTTGGACTGTCTGCTGCACATTAAAAAATTCATCCTAGTCACCACGCGCCCAAGGTACACCAAATGTAGTTGTACATAGATTCTTCAAATTGACATACAACCGATGCTCTCTCAACTTTTCTAGAACTGTCCTCAGGTGCTCCACATGCTCTGTCTCTGTACGACTGTAGAACATAATGTCATCGAATAAGACCAGGATGAATTATCAAGTGTGAGGCTAAAAGAAACTATTCATAAGGGACTAAAATGTGGCCAGAGCATTAGTGAGGCCAAACGACATTACCAAAAAATTATAATATCCTTCATGTGCCCTGAACGTTGTCTTGTGCATACTAATCTGGAGGTATCCTGAATAAAGATTGATTTTTGGAAGAAGACTACTTCAAAAAGCTCATCTAGCAACTCATCAATCAAAAAAACAGAAAAATTATCTAATACTGTCTCCTTGTTCAAAGCTCGGTAGTCCATGCAGAACCTCCAATACCATCTTTTTTCTTCACCAACAAGACTGAACTGGAGAAGGGTTCACACTGGGTCTGATAATCTCAACCTCAAGCATCTTTCTGATCAACTTATTTATCTCATCCTTGTGAATCTGAGAATACCGGTATGGTTTGACATTGATAAGGGGCACAACCTCATTTAATGTATTAGCGTGCTCGTGCTCGTATTGACTTGACCATGGTTTTGAGTGAAACCATGATTTTGTATAAGCTAGCATCTCCTTTCAGTATCACCTTCTTACCCTCCACTTACAACTTCATCGTCAGAGATTTTCAGTCCACCTTCATCTCCCCAAGCGTCAGTAGCCACTTTATCCCAAGAATCACATCTGTGCTACCCCAGTCCAAAGGAATGAAGTCCTCCACCACCTGAAGGTCATGTAGTGTCAGAACAAAACTTTTACAAATTCCATGACTTTTCTACACCTTCCTTATCCAGACGCCAAAGCTCTCTTTAGCCATCAACTCCTATCCTAACTGATCCACAACCTGATTTGAGATAAAATTATACGTTGCCCCACAATCCACCAATACCACAATCGGTTGTTCCCCGATCCGCCCCCTCACTTGCATGGTGTGATTCGGAGTAAATCTCACCACTTAATTAAGGAAAACCTCCGCTACATCTAAGTGCAGATGCTCCTACTCCACCCCATCTTTCTCTGATTCCTCACCCTTTATCTCCTTCTCTTGAACTAAAAGGATCTGAAGTGCGCATTCCTTGCAATGGTGGTTTGGGGCATACTTCTTCTCACAACAGTAACATAATCTTTTTGCTCTTTAATCCTGCACTTTTGCATTAGTAAGGCACTTGAAATTGCCCTCGAGACAAGTCCCCATATTCTTCTTTCGACGTCTCCTTATGAAATGACATCGTTATAGTCCTCAATGTCGTGGCTGTCGAGACACACTTGTAGAATCCTCCTGTGTTGTCGTCATTGTTGGTCTTGTTCACTTGTTTCTTGCCTTTCATTATCTGGGCGAGCTCCATCATTTCTCTCAATCCGCGCGGTCTCAATGATCAGATGGTCGCTCGGATGTCGGGCTTTATATCTTTCAAAAAGTTCCCCTCCAAGGTGTTGTTGAAATACCCCTCAACCGCTTCATCGAACTTCTCCTTGCATTCTATGACCATCCCCTCCTGAGTCAGACCATAAAATTGCTCGTGTAAGTCTCCTTCCCGAATGACTCGAAAAAGCTCCAACAGGCAATTCCTTAAATTCCTCCCTTGAATGT